TCTTCAGTCTTCTCACCCTGTGGCGGTCCTATATCGATCTCCACTTGACAGTCAATGTTACTGCAACTGCTTCATATTTTAGTGATCTTCGATATATTTATTTACAATTTTACAACTACAATGTTCATCAATGTAATACATATACTATTCAATTCAAATATTGAAACACAGTTGAGTTGAAAGTCTAGAATACTTTGGATCGTACAGGGTTAATGACGAACCAAGCTTCAGTACAACAGATTTTGTGAAACTGTTTGTATACAATGCTCGATATCTTCCTAATTTCAAATGATCCTTTTGAAAGATTGCGAAGCTATGAGACACGACCATTTCAAGCTTCCATTTAAGCCGAAGGCGGTCATTTTGAGCGCCTAGATGTATTTAACTGCAACTTACTAATGTGTAAAAAATGATTAAAATCTCGAGAACAGGATCATTCGTTTGTACCAATTTTTTCATCTTCATCACTGAACTGGAACCCACATGTTATGAAACATCTCGTATACGAATAAAGAAATCGATACACTATGAGTGTGCGTCTTTGTAAGTCTGATTCATGGATATTGGTTTGGATTGGGTAAGTTACAGACTACAGCTTGTTACAGCCGTATATAGTAGTTCAGAACTCGATGGAGACCTGGTCATTCGATTGTGTAAAAGTTTAAAGAGATACATGTCGGTAATCGGTATAGTTTCAGCCTAGCGATAGTTCGACATACGTAATGGCATAATATTACCAGTGCCCTGGTGGTAGTCAGTAAATGTATAATGCTATAGAGTTCACAAATACAGTGTCACGCATTACAGTGAAGTGCTGCAAAGTGGAATGGTCGAAATAACGATTTGCGTAGAAACAGAACCGACAGGGCAACTACTACTTGTGCGAGACTAGTCCGTCTTATTCTGTCATAGTTAAATAATAAATGGAGTAAAATTGGGGGACGATTTCAAATTGCAAGACGCATAACGACTATATATGTAAAATACAAACTGATACGTGTATGTACGTAAAAGTCGGAAATTAAACATTTGCAAAAGGTGTAGGATAAGAGTGTGTGAACAGTTTAAACAAATAAACGTACTCGTGATTCAGTACTATCTTATCTCACTCTAATCCTTCATGTAATATAAAAATCGTTGTTTTCTAAAGCGGTAAATAAGAATTTTGTATATTTTAAATAAAATATTACCTTTTAATGAATCTAATCAGGGAATAGTTATATAAAACAATATTTATGTAGCATTTTGTACTCATATTTTTCTCCACTTTGAGTACACTAAATACTTCCTTATTTAACGTAGTTTTCGAAGTATTATACGTACCTACTATATACGTATAGTCTGTAACTTTTTCCAATTTTCCTTCAAATAATTTGCAAAGCAATTTCCTTCTGTAACTGGTAGTCATTAATAAAGCATGAAATTATTACTTGCTCAGATCGGTATCGTAAAAGTTTCGCCGTGACATCGAGACGATAACATAGAAGACATGGTACTGTGTCCAATTCGGGAGAAAACGGTTTTTTCATAGATTAATGGTTTACTTGCCGGGCACGCGATGCGATTTTGTCTTGATCGATAGTTTCATCTACCAGTTTCCACAGCTCGACTAACATTAAAAGTGGGTTCGTGTGTAAAGATATGAACGCTCTTTGAAAGCGTCTATTTATGTCTAATAATCCTTATTACTGTTTCGACTTAATACGATACTTCGGTTTTTTTTTTTGATAAATATATTTTACAGCTGTTTTATTCTACAGATTACTAGTATATTTTTATATACTACACTATTTTTTAAATTTATGAAACGATATATTTTAAACCATAAATATCTTTTTGACCTCTCACCGAGTACATAACAAGTGTGTAGCATGCTATAAAATTGTTATAAATGTAAATGAAATGTAGTATAGATTCTTGGCTTTGAGAGAATCGACTTTTAATTTCATTAAGAAATACGAGTTACTTATTGGTACATTTAATCAATTTCTTTTAGTAACAGAATATATTTATCAAATACACTGTTAAAAAAATAATAGAACGGGGTAGTATGTGTGTTTTCTAAGGATTGTATCCTGTACTGCAAAATTTGGTAATATTATTCTGAAAATTCATTTAAATTGTAAAATTATTCATAGTGTCGAAGTTGAGCCATAAAAATTGGCAGATACGAACGAGAATTAAAAATCACTGTGGGATACTGTGGCATTGTTATGGGAAAACAGTGAATGGAAAAAGAAGCAATTTTAGTTCAGATATAAAAACCACGACACACTCTTCGGTAGTCTCTTTCTTTCTCACAAACTTTGAAGTCCGGTTATTTATCGGAATTTTTAGCCACCCCAATACTGCCCTTTCCCTTATAATCAACGTTTTCATTAAATTTTGTCGGACTCTCTGGTTTTTCCATTCTACGAAATTACTCAGACTTTATATACTAAAATAATATACCTACTAAATAACAACTTCGGCGAGAGGTATGGAATTGATAAAACATAATTATAATTTACTGTATATTACGGTATAAATATTCTTATAGTAATTAGTTATTGATATTACATAGTTACTACTTATTGATAAAACATAGAATCGATTTATTGCAACTATACTGCGGGGATGTTTATGCAAAATTCACAACTCTCACAAATCAGTTTCCAAATATAAGAATTAAATAGAAGTTACGAAAATGATCTGTACCTATATGTATACTAGACAGACGTTCAACGTTTTCGATGAGAATGACAATGGTCTACTGTCTGAGTTGCAACGTGTCTGAACGGATGCGTATATGAATATTCGCATATGAATTGTCTGCAACAAGCGTTTGTCCCAATAGAATCGTCGCGATATTACTCCGCGTCTGAACGGATAGTATAAAATCAGTTTTCATATTCCTGACATGATATGCTCCCCAGTCAGACTTTTCAAAGTATAAAACGAAAAGGTAAACATATTAAATATTAACGAACAAAAACATCAACCTATACATACGTTACCATCGTTTCTGAGATGGAGGCTAATCATGTGACACATGTCAAGGCCGACAGTTGGGTCAGTCCTGACCCATAAGTAGACGATATTCTCTTCGCATTGTGTTAAGTTTGGCATGAATGTGTTAAGCATATCGGCATTAAACATGTAACAAACAAAAGAAACTCAGAAGCCTTCCCTCTAACGTATTACCCATAAATCATTTAAAAAGGCAGGTAATTCAAATGAACAATACCGTGTATCTCCGTACGAGTGACTCTATATGCACATGCCCGTAAATATACGCACGATCCTAGAGGCATCGAAATGGAATCGCTGGAATTCATTGGGTTGCATAAAAGCAATTGATCGCACTTATGCCCGCGCAATGATTAACTTTCAAGCGATTTCTTTGCGTTCGCGCGCATCCGTTGTCACGGGGGCCGGCAGAATGGGTGGTTGGTTGGCGTCGACGATGTGCGTGCGTGTGCAGACTGTCGGCGGGGTGTGGGGGATGTCGTACGGCATCCCGAAGCGAAAGGGGAGGCACGAGGGGAACAGTAACCGGTGGTGGTTGCGTTCGCATGCCCCCCCACCAAGCTCGTCTCGACGAGAAGGGACACAGCCGCCGCCAGCACCACCACCACCACCAACGCCGCCGCCGCCACCGCCACCATCATCACCACCACCGCCGTCGCCGCCGCCACCGACGTCGGGACGCCGTGTGTGAATTTGCCTTCCATCGTCGCCCGTCGTCTCAGTTACCAACAGTCCGCGCGATCGTTCACATCGGAGAGTTTGTGAAGTGAGTGAAGCCAGAAAGAGAGCAAGAGAGGATCGAGGGGGAAAGGAAGGATCGTGAGTGAACGAAGGAAAGAGAGAGAGAAAGAGAAACGGCTGTGTGTCGTGTACGAGAGGGAAAAGTGAAGGATAGAAATAAAAGTGGAAAGAAGGAAAAGACTGCGTCTGAGGGAGCAACAGAGAGAGAGGAAGAGTGAGAGAGAAAGCCATGCCGCACAGTCTCGCCTGAACAAAGGAAGGCTCCCTCAGCCGAGGGTCGATTCCGATCGACGAACCGTTGGTCCCCCTTCGTTAGTCTTCGCCGCGCCTCGTGCGGCACGAGTGTGTACGAAGCGGTCAGTCACGTAGCAGCGGCCGAGCCGTGCGGAACAAAGAGCGGAAGGATTGGAGGAAGGTGAACGGGCAGAGAGGAACGAGAAAGGAAGCAGCGTGCGTCTGTGGAACCGCAACCGGCTCGCCGGTAAAAGATAGAGAGGAAAAGAAAAGAGAGACGGACCGAAGAGAATAATATAGTATATCCCTGCTTTTCAAAATCAAGCATCGTTCGCGAAGGATTCTCGTCCGGTCGATCTGCCACACGGTCTCTTTCGAACGATATACATTCCCTGTTCCTGTTTCAAAATTTTCCATCGGAATCGGCTCGGCTTGTGTTGTTTGTGCACGACGAGTACGTTTGACGTCCTCGAGTATCCGTATCCACACTCCAGGTTGTGTTCCCGTCTCCTACGTAACACGTTAAACACCATCGAGGCTGTGTGAGAACGCCGAAGAAAACGCAAATTTTACGCGTGTGTGCTTTTTGAAGGTGCTTTCCATTCGCGTGTTTCCGCGCGCCGATTCTCCTGGGGCGAGTTTCAGAGGGCGAAGAACACACACGGTTCGGATCTTTGATTGGTAGTTTTGTGCGTGCATGCGTGCGTGCCCAACGTACCGGCAACCTAACCTAACGACCGCGCTCGTTCAAGAGTAACCGTCGTCGACACCGCCACGCAGTAACCAACGATATAACACCATTACGCGTACGCATTAACAAACCGATTTTCGCGCGCGTGTTTGCTCCGAAAAGTGAATAAGGCCCATACCAGTGAAACCGGAGTAAAGACAAAAGTGACTAGACGCGACGCCTGTATTTTCTCTCTCTTTGTGTGACATGTGCCACAGAAACACGGTGCACGTTTGAAACGTAGAGGATTCTCTGACCAACAAAAAAAAAGAAAGAAAAGAGAGCAGTGTTCTTCCGTTCGACTACCTACGGATTATCCTCGTCTTTACGGTGAGTTTCGAACTTTCTTTTAATCCGAACCGACGTTATCACTCCGATTGACTCCGTTATTGAACGGCGAAGTCAAACGTATGTGTCCCAGCAAATTGTCGCGATGTAACAATGAAATTGAATTTCCCGCGGCTACTATACCAAGGGTTCGTAGTGTGTAACGTATTTCTCGCGGTTTCTGTTGAATCGTTCCGGAAGTAGTATAAAATGGCGAAAGTTTCGAAGATTCCAGAACAGTCTTACTATGGTAGCGCGTTTATTCAGGAAAATCGTGACTTATTTCAGACGGTACGCGGCACAAACGGTTCTGTTTATTGTCCTTCGAACATTTCACGTGTCAATGACGAAAGTCATGTTTTCCGTGTGAATAGTATTCCTCTGGGTAGCAATAACCGAAGATCAAGATTCGATACGAGCGTACAATTTCAAATTGCGAATTTCAGTATCCGATAGATTCTTTAAATAATTTTTGCTCCGTTACAACGTTCGAAGTTCAAAATATCTATTTCTAGAATTTCCAAGGTTTCACAGTTTACTAAATAACAATGTTAGATCTGGAAATATTGTGTTACTAAAATTGAAGTTTTTGCATTATCTTGCGAAATCAGCACATTCGACTGGGAACTAGTAGAAATCAATAGAAACGTAGGATTAGGCAACGAACCTGTATCAAGGTCGGACTCGTGTATTGCAATGGTTTGAATTTGATTACATTTAGTTTTTTCTTATTAGAATTTATTATGGACAACATTATACATAGAACCGTACGCTGAATGTTACAGGTGGAAGCTATTTTTTAGTAGAATTAATTAATGTTGTTAAATTGTGGTATAAGTATAGTTTACAGATACTCCCGAGGTCGATAGAAAAAAGTTCCCCACAAGTTTCTCAAAGTTTACAATTTTGACGTTCGTACGTTTCTTAGAAAACCTTCATATACAATACTTCCAGCAACATTCGCAAGAGCGTTCGGTGTGTTTGAAAGTTTCAAAATAAATCATTACTTTGAAACGTATAATTTCAATTTGTTATATAATCATTGATACGTTATTAAATTGAATCCCAAATATACTGTGAATTTGATACATTTATGGTATACGTACGTATTTTTTATTTCGAATTAAGTAAAATCATAAATAGAATAAATCATAATAGAATAAGTTGGTACGTAGTTTCGGTTTTCGTAAATTTATCTTTAACATGTGACATTGTATAAACATTCACAGCTTGCTCATAAATAACTTCCGTCCTAAAGATTGAAAATTATTAAATTGAATAACGATTGGGGAGTGTTTCATAGATTAATATGAATTACAATTTGTCCGGTCGACACGAATTTAAAAAATGGAAACGGAAGTTATTTATGGCTTAACCAAATACATCTATCTTCTTATCATTGGTTGTTATTTTATTGATTCAAATGGCTACGACAGTATCACTGTAAATCGCTGATACAGCAATGGGCACATACATAGTTGTTCAAAAGTTTCGAGCATTCCTCGATGTTTAAAGAAATAATGCTTCTACTATTATAACTGATACTATTTATTAATATTTCGAAACATAATTCGACTAATGCATCTTCTGTATCAAGGAGTGTTCGTATAAATGTCGTTCGAGTAATGGTGACATTATGTACGATTTACCGACTCTAGTAGCTTTATGGAGTCCGAAAAATATAAATGCTATAAATATTAATTCTCCCCTAAGATCATGTCGAGCGTGCATCATATTCACCCTGTTCCAACCTGTAACTGATATTATAACTGGGATGGGATGGTTTCTGTAGGAAAAATATATCGACGAAAATAACATTTTTTTTACACATAAGTGTCTCTGTTGTACGCAATATTTCATATAGCTGTATAATCTACTACTTTTCAAATCATGTCACCATATCGTTTACATTATAAAATATCTACATACCCCTGCATGGTTGTAGAACATGCCATAGAATGTTGGAACATATGTGCAGACTACACGGCGATATAAAAAATAGTAAACTTTTTAAATGCTGAAAATTAAATTAAAAATTCTTCATTATTCGGGACGTGGAATTTACACGCGCGTTCTGTACAATTGAATTCATTCAGGCGATATAAACGTGCTCGAAGGGGACTACAATAAAAATTCAACGAGATCAAGAGTGTTTCGCAAAACAAGCTGGTTTTGTACGCGCAGCATCCAGTATCTCGTTCTCGCATCGATGATTCAGTTTCGAATGGAATAATGCACGTTCATCGATGCGTTGATTTCTCTCGTAATGAGATTCCACGCGGTAAACGGCGGCACGCTGTGAATTATTAAGCGCAGGACAGAACGAAACGCAGAGGAATGGAGGAGTAATAGATAATCTTGAAAAACACCAATTTTTGTGTTCCAAGAATCTAATTAAAATTCTGCTAAATGACGAAAACATTACAATAGAATCTCTCGATTGTCCGAGCAACGCTATGTACCTGGAAAATATGTATTAAATAATAGGAAACAAAGAAATAATAGTTCATTATTTGATTACGAAACATGTTGAGATAGTACAATAAAAATGGAGTAGAATATTTAATTCATTTAAATGAATAGAAATATGAAATAGCAAACATAGAAAAATCTTGCGAGAAAATATTTTTAAAAATAGTTGAAAAAATTTGGTTATTGGAATTTCTTCTTTATTCGTATATTTGACATTTTACCATATGCATATTGTGTTTTATATCTACAAGAAATTTGATTTTTTTTATGATAAAAGAATAATATCTGAAAATACAATCGGAGTTTTTAATATGTCACAATGTTTTTCGACGAACCGGACATATAAGGTTTGAAAATGTTATTCGATAAGAGTTGAAAGTTTAAAACACAATGTGTCGTGTATATGGAGGATACGGTATCAGAGGTCTGTGTGGCATGTGTAAACGGTCGGGGATTCGTGTAAAACGGATCAGAATTTCTGATAAGTTAGTCTAGCCTATTCAATCGTTTCATTCATAACTCGAGGATATACGCTGTACGTGACGGCATAGTGAGTCACTTTTACGCGATTCCGACTAAATACGCTTCACTCGAGAACGTCCTCGTGTTTTTTGTATTTAACGCATTACGTTTGAAAGTTGTGAGATTTTTACGGAGTACAGTGGGAAATTGTCCACTGGATTCTGAAGTGGGGTGTTAATGAGATGTGTTTTCTGAACGTCAGCTGGAAATAAGCTAGTTAACAATTTTACAGATGTGACGGAATCTATTATTAACAAAATAAAATTTAAATAATTAAAGTGAATTCTATTCTTAAAAATTGAAGAGTTTCAGGAATGGAAAGTATTTCTTTCGAATTGAAAGGAAACCTTTCATATGATAATGTCGACGAGAATAGGAATAATCGTAAATTTTTTTCTGAGAGAAAGATCATTTTTAATTATGTTCTTTCCTATAAAAATTTTGGAATTCATTCGACAACAAAACTATCCATAGGTAAATATAATTACACAATCTGACTTCGGCTGCGGAGAATTTAATTCTAGCAGTAGTCATGCAATCGATGTCACGCATCCATGCACAAAGTGAAATATTGTATATTGGATCTCTAGTTACAGATGGGTAAAGATTATTGCATTGAATTTAATGAAGCGTAAATATCTGTGTCTCTATAGAACACGCAGTTTACTTATTATTACGAATTGTCTGGATATTAACACGTTGTTAGTGTTGTATATTAATAAATATAATGAAAATCAATATGTTCAGTGTGCAATATGCGATATGGAATTGTAGTACCAATATCCTCAGGTTGTTTTTTTTTTTTTTTTTTTTATCGAGTTCCAGCGATGGTCTACGTCGTTTCTCCGTTATAATTTTTCAGCTGTTTCGCCCAAACTATTACAGATCGGGTAATGTACAAAATTTTTTATAGGTATTAAAATTCTGTGGTTCCAAAAAATGTTTACTCGCAATTTAAAGAATTGAAGGAACAATTACGATTAGCATTTTACGATTAAAATTTACTTCTTTACTATGTCAGATAAATATATTTTAACTTTATGCAAGCTGATTTATTAAAAATCCATCACATAACATCGAATGTAGAAATTATAATATCGAAGTAATCAAGTAAAAAGGTTTACTTTAAATAAAATATGCTAGAAAGATACTCAATCGCCAAGATTCTTTCACTTTCAAACGCTTGGCTTCATTTCACTTCAATTATTTTAGTATTTTAACGATATCATTTAAACTGCAATTTCTACACTTGCATTATTCATGCAGCAGCATCTGACCGATACGAGTTTATGAAGTTATCATGATAATTAATTCATCGAGGGTAAATGCGAGTCCCTAATTGCGCATCGATCGACTCTATCTCGTATTACCCAGACCCGATGAAATCTCAAATGACGCGGGACGTGTTAGTGTCAATTTTAACATTGACCTATAATGTTTTTTCATCAGTAGGCGGACCTGACCCTGTGCATACGATGAATACCGTTATTCACAGAATTAATTGAATTTCAATTAATTGAATTTCAAAGACATTCAAGATTAAAAATAATACAGACAGAAAAATAAAATATCTATTTTCTTGTTTCAATTAATACCATGCAATCAAATTAAATACGAATAAGTGAACGTATCAACTGTTTCAAAAACAATTTCAATCACGTTGCAGTCATGAATATGCTCTTATAGTATAGTCCATAGAGTACTATTTCAATGACATTTTTATGTACTTTTGTCTCGAAATAAACATAATACCTATAATATAATCTTATCAGTATAATGCTTTTAACACATTGGGTTTTGGCAGGACTTCAAGTATTTCAGTCTTCAATAGTTTCACACAACAAAATGTATCCTACTCAATCTTGATATTCATTAAGTAACATAAAATACATATCTTCTCGAAATATACTAAAAATACCAATCGAGAACAAAAATATTTAATGTTTTATTAGTAGACTCCGGATGCTTACGCATTTATAGCGTTCCTTGACTTGCAATGCGTAGTAAAA